TGGATGAATTTTAAATGTACCTCCTGCATGGCACATCCCAAGTTCTACCTTAATCCGGCTTTTCACTTAACAAACTCAACACGTTACTGTCCCTAACGTGTGTGTGTGTGTGTGTGTGTGTGAGTGCGCACGCATGTACACATACTCCTGATGCTGTGTTCATTTTTCACACTTGCACTGTAGACATAGGTTTTTAACACGTCACCAATATTAATTTCATGAGTTCTGCCGACTGCTGACGTGCCCATTGCTGCGAGGAGTTTGAGCTCTGTCTTTTGTTCTCTTCCTCTCGGTGTTTTTCAGAGTTGATGATTGACAGGAAAGAGCCAGAGTTCCAGGAGCTGAACGAGAGGGCCCGAGCTCTGAAACACATCCTAAGCACCCTGCCTGATGAGATCAATGACCGAATGGGCTTGCTACATACCATCAAGTAAGACAGCTGTGTGTGTGAATGTGCACGTGTGTTGCAGTGTGACGTAAATCAGGTTCACTACTACGTGCAAAATTTCGATCAGATTAAGTGATTAAAGTAGCAGAAAGCAAGCCCTTTTGACTTACAACATCTCGATGGTTGATTAAAAGTGAAAGAGTTGGCTTTTAGTAACTGTTCTCCAATTAATATTTTATTATATGCACTAAGACGCTGCCTGGCATTACATAGCTCTCATTTCTTTTATTCCAACTGGCCAACCGGAGCATGTCTTTGTTTCTAAGCCGTAAGATTCCTTTCAAAGGTTGGGCAGTGTGCACAGCAGTGATGGCGAAACTATTAACGTCCCTGTCCGCCGCGCTGCACGGACGCTATAGAGAGAAAGTGAGAGATGTTTCATCTTCTTGGCCCACTTTGCCATTATTTTGATGGAATTCAATACTCTTAGTGAGTCAGTGCTTAAGTTACTTACCCAGCGGAGGGCTTAGAAATAAAATCAATTCAAAGGGAATGCTAAGAAATTAAAGTTATGAAACGGCAGATTTCAAGTGCATGCGAGGGGAGAGGGAGAGAGAGAGAGACAGAGAAAGAGAGTTGAAGGTGAGAGCGTGTTTGTGAGAACAGGGGGAAGAAAGGGGAGACAACAAGCTGGATCAAAGGACTGTAGTTTCAGGGTATCAGTGCCTGATAAAAACAGACAGATTTGAAGATTTCTCTATATATATATATATATTTTTTCTTTCTAACATGCACTCACTTGTGCGTGTCATCCGCAGAGATGTTGCCAGTGCCATCAAGGAGCTGCTAAACACTGTTAATACTGTCTTAAGGAAATACCAACATCAGAACAGACGGGTAAGTGGATACATTAGTAAGTTTAAGAAAAAAAAAAGTGCCGGTGCGCACAAACACAGTTGCTGTGAAATAAGTGGAGCTGAAAGGCTGTCTGTATTTATTGGTTAGGTAGTGGAACAGCAGAAGAAAGAGTTTGTGAAATACTCCAAGAGCTTCAGTGACACTCTCAAAACCTACTTCAAAGATGGAAAGTAAGACACTGTTTCTAGTGTATTTTTTTACCCCTTTTCTTTTTTTTTCTCCATCACATCTTCAACCTTTTCTCATTCGTGTCCGCACACATAGCCACCAACGCATTCACTAGTCGTACACACCCACCCACGCCTGCACGCCTTGCCTGTTTGCATAGACGCTCACGCGCACACCCACTGTCACCCATGTAAATGGTGGTTGTTTGATCACAGGCCCGCTACCATCAAATCCACCAATGCTGAATAATTCCCTTGACCCACTTCCTGTGGATCCATCCTGGCTTGTGTTCTCTGAAGCCTGACATTCTCTATTCCAGCCAGATCAAAGTGTTCCCCGGATCAATCCTAATATTGTTGCCACGCTTTTCGGGTTTTTTTTTCTCCCCGTGTGAGTGACACGTGTGTCCTTGTCTTTCTGTTCCGGTTGTTTCCAGAGCAGTAAATGTGTTTGTCAGCGCCAACCAGCTCACCCACCAAATCAACATGATAATGCGGGCCTTCAAGACTGGCGGCCCAGCGGCGGCGGCCCGAGAAGACGCGAAGAACAGACGCGCGCACACACAGGAGAAGCGTTTTCATTAGAGGACAGGCGAAACAAGGCTTTTTATTTGTAAAGGTGTTTTATTATTTTTTTTGGGGGGGGGCTGTATAATTTATAATTCTGTGGCTCTGAGGGGAGATCAGGTAGTTTCGAGTTTCAAAGCACGTCAGGCTGACAGTAATTGCTGGGGATTTTTTTTACTCTTTAATGTTGTTCTTTTATCAGATTCTTAAGTCAATATTTTCTACGCTCCCCTCTGCATTTTCCACTCTGTTCAGATCATGTCAGTGTTTCCCTTGTCCTTAAAAGTTTGGCAATTGCATATAAGTCCTTAAAAGTTATCATTTTGGCAATTACTAATATCCAGCCAATACGGTTTGTAGTCATTTGTAATTTGATTGATTTGCCAAAGACCAAGATGCCATCTTTAAATGTTTTGTTTTTTGTTATTTTGTTCTGACCAAAAGCCCACTGATTCTAACCCTTTTTCTTTAGCTCCCCATAGGTATCATCTATATGTGCCATGTGTATATACATGTATACTTAACTGGACTTCTCTCGCTGTCTTGTATTTTAATGTTTCCAGCTAGAGCGTTACTGCTCCAAAGCTGCAGATTTCAATTCATTTCAAATGAGTGACGACTTAACCTTCACATGTTTACGCAGATGTCTCTGATTATGAACATATTGTCTCTTTGTCACCTTCTGTTCAACTCCTACTCTGTAGTTTTCATGACGTTTTCAAGGCCAGTGAAAATAAAATGAAGGGACCTGAACTTCTTTGAGAACTCTTAAAGAAGTCATGACGAGTTAAACCACTTTTCTTCTTCTTCTTCCTCTTGCAAATTAAAGAGTTCTGACGTGTGAGAAAGATTTTTCCAAAAGTGGGTCTCTCTTCAGATTTGTATTGTTGTATGAGAGTGCTTCATTTTCGCTCAGTTGCCCTTGCGTTCTCTTTTCTTCGACTGCGCCTCTTTCCTCCCAGAACTAAGAGCCGTACCAATTTTTTTTTTTTTCTTTCTCCTTCCCATTCCAGCAACTTCATTCTTCTCCCTGTATAATAGTGGATTTTCCATGGTGGATTTGTGGAGGGCTATTTTGGGCTCTCTGCTGGCTCCTACATGCACCACTGTAATCCAATTGTGATAGTGTTAATTTTTAAAGCTTTATTATTGAAATTGCTGAGACCTAATTTTCCGATCCTGTCACTGTTGACGGCCGCCATAATCAGCTAATTCGAGTTATTGAAGACCATTAAGTCACACACGGAGATTGGCCATGGTCACTGGAGCAGCAGGAAGGAAGGGCGGTGATTACATCTTTGTTGGATTTACTGTTTGATGCTTTCCACCATGCGAGCTATCGATTTGTTTGAGTTAAACAAATCCCTGAGATACTTTGTTCTCTCTGTGTGTGTGTGTGTGTGTGTGTGTGTGTGTATGCGCGTCTGTGTGTGCATAGCAACAATTGACCTGCAGGATGCCCTCTAACAGGCATTTGAATGATGCTGTAAAGCTGTTTTGTGTGTATTTTATCTTTGTTCAGGTTCACGTCAGTATTTTTCTTTTATTATCAGTCGCCGTGGAATCTTTGTGTGAATCGTGTTGTTGTATGTGGCGTTGTTGCACCTCAGTCTCACACACATTATGTTCGCTCCTGTGCCTAATCTGAGAATAGAAAGGATACACGCGCACGCATACTGACAATAGGCCTGGACTCACAAACTCTCACAACTCTTTTTGACTACTCGGTTGCCAGGAAACTTAGCCCGAGTCTTTAAGAGTGAAGGATAATAAAAGATTTGTTGTGTGTGTGTGGCCTCTGCCACTGTCTGGGCTACTGGGGGGCAGTTCGTTAACTCTCTGTGGGTGTGTGTGCCTGCAGTCAGGGCTGTTGGCGTTGATTGCTTCTTACACGTTGCCATCTTAGAATAACCTCTGGACACAAACTTCAGCCACAAATCGGCCGAGTCTCCTGTAGACGAGAGGCAGCCATTGCTAAGACGGAATAGCCAGAAGGTGAGGATTTGTTTGAAATGTCACACATTTGAAAGTGGTGTTTCCAACACCTCAGAGCTGGACTCTTGGGACAACATACTACACACACCCATGACAGAATGAGAGGTGAAATTGAATGGTAAGTTTGAATTTGTTATTAAGTGTAAAGTTGTGTTTGGTTTCACTGTTTGAACTTTGTGATTGAAAAGAAAACATGCTTGACTTGAGGTATGTGTATACTGGAAGGCCAGGTCTGCCATTACACAGTTAGGAGCTGAGATGCTTTGTTGACGGACAAGTTAACTGCATGTTCTTTTAAAAACTCAGAAGTACTACAGTGACAGTTTTGAGAGGACTAACTGGAGCAAAAGTGACCATCCAGGAAGAGGAGAGGCAACCCTGATAAGTGTGTTTGCTAAAAGATTGCAAAAGGAGTCTTTCCCAGAGGTGGATGCATTCATAAGAAATGCCTCTTACCTTTCAAGCAGCAGCAATTTGGACGGCACATCAAGCTTTCTGTGTTCATTTTTCTTTATAGAGTTGCGTCTGTGCAGTCGCATGCAGACTGAAGCCAGCGGCGTGCCACAAAACAAGTCAGGATGTGGTTGATTAGAAGTTATCACGCTCACAAACAAGATGTGAAGAAATTGTCCCATGAGTATCGGTGTTCTTTTAAATATTACAGTAGTCTAAAGTCATCTTGCAGTCTACTGCGAACCTGTTGTCTGGTTTAACTATCATGTCAAGATCACACTGCAGTTCATCACTGTTATAAAAAAAAGATAATAGCTGCAGCAAAGCATTGATTTATTTATTTATTTTCCCTTTGCTTTCATTACACAGCCTGTCATCTAAATCTCTGTTCAGTTTGATGCCACATCCAGTGAATTTGTCTCATAAACGTTTATGCCATGCTAAAAATGAAACAGTGTTTGCCGCCCCGCTGCCCCTTGGAGTGTTTTGTAGGAGAGTTGGAGTTAAAAAGAAACTTTCTCCCTTTTGACTTCAAATGCGCTTTTAATTTCAGCACAGAGCAATTTCAGAAATCATTCCCTTTTATTCACACTTTTATTCTCTCCATCTATCTGACTGTATTTTATTTCACACTAACGGATATGACAGACTCGACATGCTTTGGCAACCCGCTGCCTTTCTGAGAAATTTTCTTTTGGGGGGGCTTGTTTGACTACTTCCTAAAGTCTTGCAGTTCGGAAAATAGCAGAAACCTTTGCACGCTATCCAACAGTGAAAAGAGGCAACAATAAGCTGCTGCTGTGACCTTGCTGTATGATCACGGTGGCATGACGACCCATGTGAAATAGATATGGCAGGTTATTGAGGGATTATTCTGAGTGCATCTTGTTTTGTCATGTAACACAGACGTTGGGAAATCTATTTTATTCAGTGGTGTGTGTGTGTGTGTGTGTGTTCCCTATTCCACACCAACCTGCATACAGACACGCATTTTACCTCCTTGACCTCACCTGGTTTATTGCTGATTGATTGACAGGTCTGAGCTGTAACCATGGGAACGAGAATGGAGGTGGCACAGCTTGAAAGCAGAATGAACGCTGAGGATTATAGAAAGTTACAGAACCTTTTCCTTGTGAGTCTTTGATTTCAAGTCAGTCTATTGACAGCCTTGTATTACAGCACCTTTATTTCACATTTAAAGAACAGGGTTAAATTATTTATCTCCAATTTTGACAGTATAGAACCATGCCTTTAGATCTGATAAGAAGTGCTATACAAACAAGGGAGTCTTCAGGGATTTACTAAGAAATCATAGGGTTTGAGTATGTTCTACTTACTTTTAGTTTACTGGAGTATATACAGCTTGTCAAGTTAATTTGTTCAAGTACTGCCCTAATTTTTGGGTTCTTCTCATAACTGATGTATAAAAGATGGAGGTAGCCACCTAGAAGTAAGTCGCTTATTTGTGATGCCCTGAACTGCACCAATTTCCTGTCACAGTGTAGCCACAGTCTTAAACACACCTTGATTTATTGTGTGTTCCTTGCTACAACAGCTACGACTTGAAGCTAATCTTAGCTATTAGCCTTACACCATACTACAATAGCTCAAACTTGAAACTAGTCTTAGCTGTCAGTCTTATACTTTGCTTCAATAACTGAGACTTGAAACTAACCTTAGGTATTAGTCTTATACCTTACTATAATAGCTAAGAGATGCACTAGTTTTAGCTAACAGTTTCAAAGAGATTGGAGACATTGTTTACTGAGGTTAAAGTGCTCATGGACTTCTTTAAAGTGGGGGAACTTTGGAGGCAAAAAAGGGAGGCTTTAAATAGCCTGAAGCTATTTCCATCTTTTACATAGTCCACACTCATGATTGACCAACTTTGCTGATGCTGGGAGTGCACTAGTTGGCTGTATTCAGCTGTGTGCCAAGATTGTGCAATATCTCACAATCCTGTTGCTGTTGAATGCAGGACTTCTCAGGTGCATCCCGCTCCTTGTCCCGAATTCAGTTCATCGATCTTGCTTGGTCATCAGTTGGCCACGGGTCCGAGGAGGAATATGGCTTCTTGTTTGACAGCGTGGTTCTCAGTCAGCAGCGCAGTGGCCTCCTCCTGGACAGCGACGCCTCAAAGGAGAAAGAGTGCATTGACTGGGGAGGCCTGTGCTCATTTCTGCTGATGGAGCTTTCCAATAAATTAAAGAACAGCAAAACTGTTAGTGCGCCTTGCTGGAAGCCACCACGCACCCTCACCTGTCCACATCGAGACCCTCTTCAAAAGGTAAAAGGTCCTTTAACCTAGTAGAGACTTACACGAAGAAAAGTTTGTTATGAGAGTCATAGCATGTTGCCTTCCCCCCCCCCCCCCAAACCAATGACCCTCTGCATGTTATCTGAAAACATTTTGACATTGGCAGTCTAGGGAATCCAAAACTCTGCTGACTGGATGGAATTGCACATTATTAAACATTGTGGAAGGAAACGTTCAAAAAGTATTAGGGTCTTGCTCATCAAAATGGCTGACTCCTTTGGAGATAAATGGCTCTGGACTCCTTTAACATCTATCAATTAATATGTAAATGAAGCAGCCGGTATGAAGTCCCCACCGCTTTGGATAAAGTGACGGCTCATCACTTTAATCTTTCAATCCCGAGGATGTCGAAATGTCAGACTGTTGTGTCAGTTGTTTTGAGTGCCTGGAAGGTTTGACAGCCTTAAAGAGGCAGAGTATTGTTGCTTAGATAGCTTTCATTTCTGACCATTACTCCACTAGTTAAGTATCAAATAGAGAATATGGAAACAATGTACTGTATCTATAACCCTGGCAAATTTGTAGCAAAGCAGGAAGTGGTTACTAATGGTGACAAATCCACCAACAGCTTGCAGCTTTTGCATTTTTTTGTACACATTTCACTCAGGGCTTGTTGAAGACCAAAACTGAGCTAAAAGGAGTGAATTCTGGACTTGTATTCATTAAATGGTAACACCAAATATTAATATTTGCTTTATGTCTGCTACAATTGTAGACCAAACTGTTGGGCAGTGCAACTTAAGAAAACACAAGCAAATAGAAAAATGTGGCAAAAGAACATTAAATGTTAAATAAAATACAGCAGAAGCTCTCTATCTGTGAGCTTCTG